CTCACCCAGGGTCGGGCCTAACTCACCTCCCGGGACCGCAGGCTCTGAAAACGGGACGAGCGACCGAAAGCAGAGACGTCACCTCCCAGAATCCTGCGCGAGGCGGAGCCGGGATGAGGACCATACCGTGCAGGACTTAGCTCCGCAGGATGTGAACCAGTACCTCAGCCTTTCTCTCCGACTCCGCGAACCATGAGTCCCAGAATGCTCTGCGCCGCAGCCTTTATTGCTGAACTACATTTCCCAGAGGGCTCCAAGACCCGCCTCCAACATGCGCCTGCGTCCTAGGCGTCTGCGACCAGCGCGAGCTGACCAACACCGTCCTATGAGACCCTAGCAGTGTACTGAAGTGAGCGTGGTTTCACAAGTGTGAGTGAGGAGAAGGCGGCGAAACAGCACGCAGGCCTGACTGCATTCGTAGGTGTGGAGGTTTGTGTGTGAGTGTTGCTATACACTTTTGTGCTTGCACGCACACGGGACGACTGATTGCGACGTGCGTGGCGCTGCTTACATGTTTTAAATCTCATCCCGTGATCGTGCATTGTGTGACAGATTTTAGGAACGTCGAGAACGCGAGGAGCATCGTGATTGTCAGAGCGACTTTTCAGCTTTGGGGTGGCCTGTCCTATACCTGCCTGTTCTGTCACAGGGGGAGTACCCGAGGAAGGTTTCGGAGCTGCTTCTGGGCTTGCCTTTAGTCTAAGAGCAGAGTCTTTCTATGTCTTTGTGTCAGTCTGTCTCCTGATCTGTTCTTACATCTCACCCTTCGTCATAGGTGGAGTCAGTGTTATTTTTATATCCTGACTGAAAGTTCCAGCTGAAGTGAAAGTCTCTCCTGCCCCATGAAAGACCAGAGTGTGACCCCAGTCTGTGTAGCTTGTGGAAGTAAGAGGAAGTCGTGTGAGAATCTGATCTTGGCAGGACTCTGAATCCCCTGCCACAACGAACCCTCTAATAACTCAGGCCAGAGATTGCTGGGCAAAAGGAGCCAGCTCCTAAGGCTGACATGACCACTGCTTACTCTGTGAAACCCAGTATTTTATACTTTCAGAAAAAAAAAAGTATCTTTTAAGCCTATACAATCATGTAAGTTTGGTTGCCCTAATGTTGCTCTAATGAAACAAGTTAAACATTCTTTGGATGGTCATTATGGCTTACTACTTGACAATTATATTTCAAAAGGTCTTTCCTGGCAGCTATATCCTCACCTTGCAAGCACCAGGATCCCATAGAGGTGCTGGTCCATGATGTCCCTGCTGATCTACATCCCATCCAGCTCCCTGCTTGTAGACTGGGAAAGCAGTGGAGCATAGCCCAAAATCTTGGGACCCTGCACCCGTGTAGGAGACCCTGAAGAAGCTCCTGGCTCCCGGCTTCAGATCGGCTCAGCTTCAGCTGTTGCAGCCAGTTGGGGAGTGAACCAATAGATAGAAGGTCTTTCTCTCTTCTCTGTATATCTGCCTTTCCAGTAAAAAGAAAATAAATCTTTAAAAAAAGTTTCTTGCCTGGATTGGATTAGCAAGCAGGTTAGGAACTCATTTTTAGATGTTTCACAGTGAGCTGCTAGAGTCTTAAACATACTCCATTCTGAACTAGCAAGTCTTGTTCTTGAAAAAAAAACTTTATGTAAAACTGCATAGATGGAAGATTTCTCATGTTCTCTCTCTCTACCCCAACCCCTCTGATTCTGCCTTTCAAAATTTTTTTCTTTTTTTTTTTTTTTAAGAAAATATAAGGAAAATAAAGACCTGGGCACTCAAACCCCACATAAAAAAAAAAAAAAAGACTGCGTCTTCCTGTATCAGCAATTATGTTACCAACTGCAATACTAATTTGACCTCAGTTGTTTCCCGCTGAGTTAAGTGACTGCACTGCTAAAATAATGGAAGTATTCTGTTTGTCAGGGTATAATCTGTAAGTCTGAAGTTCATATTCAGAACCAGAAATCCACAGAATAAAGTTCAGCTTAAAACAAGTCTTACTGGGAACGCTCCAGGGTGAAGTTCACTGGTCTAGTACAGACAGTGGGCCAGGAAAGTCACTGGAGTCATGTGCAAAGTAGCGGCTGTATTGGGCAGGAGTTGAGTGGACTTTGCGAGTTGTAATGTAGGGCCCGGTGTGATAACCTAGTGGCTAAAGACCTTGCCTCACACATCTCAGGATCCCATATGGGCGCTGGTTCTAATCCCGGCAGCTCCACTTCCCATCCAGCTCCCTGCTTGTGCCCTGGGAAAGCAGTCGAGGACGGCCCAAAGCTAGAGTCAAGGTGACCCTCGGGCACTACAGAACACGGGGTGTCCACACTGTGGATCCTGAGGCCAAACCACGAATAGTGAAAGCCAAACCTGGGCCCCGCGCAGTGGCGCAAGAGGTTAACATCCTCGCCTTGCACGCCGGGATCCCATATGGGCGCCGGTTCTATCCCGGCAGCCCCGCTTCCCACCCAGCTCCCTGCCTGTGGCCCGGGAAAGCAGTCAAGGATGGCCCAAAGCTTTGGGACCCCTGCACCCGCGTGGGAGACCCGGAAGAGGCTCCTGGCTTTGGATCGGCATAGCACTGGCCGTTGCGCTCACTTGGGGAGTGAATCATCGGACGGAAGATCTTCCTCTCTGTCTCTCCTCTCTGTATATCCGCCTTTCCAATAAAAAAATAAATCTTTAAAAAAAAAAGTATTCTGTTAAAAAAAAAAAAAGAAAGAAAGTCAAACCTGATGGATACCTCCTGATCCTTAATGCGTCAATTGTGACGCAAAACAAAAGTGACCGCCGAGGACTCTGGGGAGTGTAGTTTTGGAGAAAGTCGGAGGCGTTGGGGTGGGCTTCGCTCTCGTGGGGTGTCTGTGACACCCATCCAGCTGTTATAACCAAGGTAGCTAAGATTCCCTTGTTAAAGCCTTGGAAGCCCCAAGGGCCAACGAGATGTGCTCCCAGTGAGAACGTCATAGGATTGCCAGAGGATTCTAGAATGTGTAGTCTCAACTCTGAACTGATGTGTTTCTGAGGCAGGTGACCTTCAGCGGCTCTGGGGACACGCTTACCCACCCAAGTCTCCACCCCTGCGAGCGCTATCGTTGAGAGAAACCCAGCCACAAGCAGGGAGCTGATAGGAAGCGGGCCACCCGGATACAAACTAGTGCCCATATGGGATCCTGTCACGTGTGAGGTGAGGACTTCAGCCGTTAGGCTACCGCGGTGGGCCCAAATTGTAAAATGTTTAAAGAGCACCTGGCACCTGGAACCCTGAGGTTCGTGTCCTATTACCTATAAAAACAATAACAAAAAATCAACCAGTCATAATGAAATAATTATGATACTGAATATATCCACAATAGTGGAAACCTTTTATTACTCTGTAATAGGAATAGTGCTAAGTACTTTACCTTTATTAAGTCATTGGTTCCTCACAGCAAATGAATACATACGGCATGAATTATAATATTTATATATAAGAAAGCGTAACATATATAAGAACTTGAAATATCTGGAAAGATAAACAACAGTTTCATAGCAATGATTGCGTTCCTAGTGTTTGCAAGGAAACACAGGGACAATTCCAACAATTAACATAAACATTTTAAGATTTTTGTTTTTTTATTGGAAAGTCAGATATACAGAAAGGAGGAGAGACCCAGAGGAAGATCCTCCATCCACTGATTCACTCCCCAAGTGGCAGCAATGGCCAGAGCTGAGCTGATCTGAAGCCAGGAGCCAGGAGCCTCCTCCAGGTCTCACACTCGGCTGCAGGGTCCCAAGGCTTTGGGCCGTCCTCGACTGCTTTCCCAGGCCACAAGCAGGGAGCTGGACGGGAAGTAGGGCTGCCAGGAATAAAACCAACACCCCTATGGGATTCCAGCACGTGCAAGAAGAGGACTTCAGCCACTAGGCCACTGCACCAGGCCCTAACATTAAACATTTTAACACTAAGCACTCAGAGGTAAACTTTGGTTCATCAAACTGATGACGGTTTTATAACCATAAAAATACAAAGTCAACCATAATATGAATATTAGTCATTATAAAAAGTTGGGGATGGAAATGATGTTTCTGAGATGATAAAAGTGAACATGCCGCTTGTACATGATTACAACTTAAGAAAAAGTTCTAGGGGCAGGTGCTGTTGAGTAGTAGGTGAAGCCACCACTTGGGCTGCCTGCATCCCATATTGAAGTATCTATTTGGTTCCCACTATTCTACTCCAATCCAGCTAATGCACTCCAGGAGGCAGACAGTGATGGCCCGGGTACTTTAGGGCCCCTGTCACCAGTCTGTGAGACTCGGATGGAATTCCAAGCTCCTGGCTATTGCTGAATATGTAGGGAATCAACAGATGGAAACCACTGTCTGGCTTCGCCTTTCAGGTAGATTCAAATGAACATTCTTTGAAAAGTCTGGCAGGATGAGATTTACCAATTGAGAGAACTCAATTATGAGCACAGTTGAGTGACGGAAACTCATTTTGAAATTTTAGTTTCTGATGTCCTATCTTCTCTCTTACAATAAGATACAAAGTTTTGCAATGAAAAAGATGAACTTCAAAAAAGCAAAGCATTAATTCAATAATATACGAGAAGTACTAAAACCTACCCAGTTTAAAGACTGTGATATTGGTGCAATTATAAATACATAAAACAGAAAAAACTGCTTTGCCAATATGAAGAATATACAATGTGTAACCAAGTTAGAACCACACAACGGGAAAAGAAAGAATTATTAAACAACTGATACTAATACAAGTTGGGGATGGTGGGGGATGTCAAATGACTGTGAATCCGTTATTTATAATGATATACATATGGAGTAAAAGCTTAAATATCAGTGTCAATTAAATATCAATAAACGAAAAGTGGTTAAAGAAGATAACTAGCAAAAATGAAGTTCTATTTAAAATTCTAGGAAGGTGACACAGTTTTTTAAAGCTATTCTTTTGCATGACCTCCCTGATGACATAGGAGATCTGAGCCACTATGAAATGCCTTCCCACATCCCTTACAGCTTTAGGGCTTCTGAGCAGTGTGAATCTTTGTATGTCGAGTCAGATTGGAACATTTATTAAAGGCCTTTCCACATTCATTACATTCATATGGTTTCTCATCTGTATGAATTTTTTGATGTTGAAGGAGTTGTGAATTCTGGGTAAAAGCCTTCCCACATTCAAGACATTCAAAGGGTTTCTCACCAGCATGAATCCTTTGATGTTGACGAAGTTGTGAGCTCTGAGTAAAAGCCTTCCCACACTCCTTGCACGCATAGGGTTTCTCACCGGTGTGAATCCTCTGGTGATTCGTAAGTGCTGACCCACTACTGAAAGCTTTGCCACACTGCGTGCACTCATAGGGTTTCTCACCGGTGTGAGTTCTCTGATGCTGGACAAGCTTGGAGCTCTGGGTAAAGGCTTTGCCACACTGCTTACACGCATACGGTTTCTCACCTGTGTGGATTCTTACATGTTGAAAAAGCTGTGAGCTCTTGGTGAAGGCTTTTCCACATACTTTACATTCATAGGGTTTTTCTCCAGTGTGAATTCGCTGATGATCAATAAGATTTGAACAGTAACTAAAGGCCTTTCCACATTCCTTGCATTCATAGGGTTTCTTACCAGTATGAATTCTTTGATGCTGAGAAAGGTATGAACTACAACTGAAGGCCTTCCCACATTCTTTACATTCAAATGGTTTTTCACCAGTATGAATTTTCAGATGCCGAGTGACATGTGATCCACAACTAAAGAATTTCCCGCATTCCTTACATTCAAAAGATTTTTCACCGATATGAATTCTCTGGTGTTGAATAAATTGTGAGCTCTGACTAAAAGCCTTTCCACATTTCTTGCATTCATAGGGTTTCCCTCCATTATTAATTATTTGATGCAAAGTAAGGAATGTCTGCTGAAGAAATGTGGGCATATTTTCATGAGTGAATATTTCTTGGCTGAAATGTCCATTTTGATATCCCAGTTGACTTGCAAAGTGGGTTCCATAGTCTAAAACACCTCTAAAGGTGGAGTACTCCAGGCCAGGCTTCGTTAGGCCTATCATTTCCCTCTGACAAGACTCGATTTCATAAACTTCTTTCTTTAGCGATAACAACTTGCTTTCACACATTGACTCCAGATCTGGAAGAGAATTAAATAGTAAATATTCCTTTTCCTTCCCTGAGAAAAGCGGGACTTTTATAACAGAAATATAAAAAGTAAAGCAAAAATAAGATTTAGTTGGTAAACATCCAGTTTTCAAGGGTATCTGTTGAATCTGAAAAGTGCATAAGAAACGCACAGAAAATAACCAAATATAATATGGGCAACAGAGAGGGATGACACAAGTAAGTCACAATCATGATTCCTGAATATTGATGAGGGTCAGAGACATCTGGAAATATTGATGGATATACAATATACAATGCTTGAAACATCTTCCATATTAAAAAGCGACAAGTCACATATATCTAGATAAACATGTCTGTATATGCACACACAGCATGTATTATACTACAATGAAAATGGAATTGCCAGCCTTTGTTAAAGGATTTGACAGAAATAAGTACAATGAGGATGATTTGGGGGTATTCTTATTTGAGGTATAATAAAGAATAAATTTGATCTTTATCCCTGGTTCCTAGCACAAACCTTCAGATTTACTGAGTGGTACAGGGGTGTGTATATGCATCTGTGTGGTTACAAAATACATACATGTGTGTTAATATTATTATATTAGATAAATAATATGAGCACATAATATAGATATTTTTAATATGTGGTATAAATAAATAAATAAATAAATAGTCAACACTTGAACATGGATGTCTGGGATACTTCTGTTGGGGCAGATAAAACTCTGCACATAACTTTATAAAAAAATGTTAAGCCCTTTACTAACAGGGTTGCTGTATGTGGTATTTAGCCGAGTGGACAGGATACCTTCAACACACTGGTGTGCCTGGGTTCAATTCCAGACTCAAACTCCTAACTCCACCTTCCTCCTAAAGCACACCCTGGGACATAGTGGTACGACTCTTGGTATCAATATGGTAGGTCTAGATTGCAATCTGCCTTCACTCCCAGGTTAGCCAGGGCTGCTGTGGGCATATAGTAAAGAGAACCAGATAATGGGGACTTCCTCTCTCTCTAGCAAATATAAATAACATTACAAGTTACAATTAATACTATAAACCTAGCACTGGGACCGATTCTTGGTCTATGGTAGTGCTCAGTAAGAACTCTTCCGTTCTCTTACTTCATCCGAAATCTCTCCTCTCTGACAACTCTTCCTTTTCAATGTAGGTATTTATGCCTCCCATAATGTCTCCTTAAACATGGTGACCTCAATCACTTTATCAGAATGTCAGATATGTAGAGCAGAAGAGACAGAGAAGAAGATTTTCCCACATGTCTGCATGGTCCCAAGGCTTTGGGCTGTCCTTGACTACTTTCCCAGGCCACAAGCAGGGAGCTGGATGGGAAGTGGAGCTACCGGGATTAGAATCGGTGCCCATATGAGATCCCAGCATGTTTAATATGAGGACTTTGGCCGCTAGGCTACAGTGCCAGGCCCAGACCTCAATTACTTTGAAGGCTCTAATTACTATGTTAGCATGGCCTAATTTACTTCTCTGGTTACCCAGATTTTCTGCTGAACTCCCTGCATTTTTACTTTACTTTGTGGGACTTGATATTCATGGACATATTTAGCACCCCTTTTAGTCTTTAAATTCCTAAGCATGACATAAATTATAGCACCTAGGTGACCTCTTTACACAAATGAAGAAAATGCTGGAGAAATAAAAAGTTCCAAGACACACTTACAAAATAAGTCACTGACAGGTTGCTAATAATGAAACACTACCAGTACTGGGCAGGTAGCAACCTGGGATGCTGATTCACATGCATGTGTTACACATTGCTATATCCTTTTGAAGGTGGACATTTTCATAAAATGCCTAATGTACAAAGGAAATAAAGCAGGCCTGGCACAGTAGCCTAGTGGCTAAAGTCCTTGCTTGCACATGCTAGGACCCCATATGGGTGCTGGTTCTAATCCTGGCGGATTCACTTCCCATCCAGCTCTCTGCCTGTGCCTGGGAAAGCAGTAGAGAACGGGCCAAAGACTTGGAACCCTGCGCCTGCGTGGGAGACCAAAAAGAGGCTCCTGGCTCCTGGCTTCGGATTGGCTTGACACTGGCCTTTGTGGACTTATTTGAGTGTAGTTTTTTTTCTTAAGAAGTGAAGGACACCTTCTGCCTGAAATTGTTGGCTGGAGGAGAGTGGAAGTGGAATGATGAAGGAAGGGTTAGATGTTAACTCAAGCCAAAAGGACTTAAATTTTCTCTAGTGGGTCTAGACTCTTAATGAGAACTTGCAAGAAATATCTAAAATGTATTGTTTCCTTACTGAACAGCTGGAGATGTTAGCTGCACTGCCAGTCTTGTGAAATCGTTGCTCACTTACCTGAACACAGGCCTCTGGTCAGCTCTTTGCCAATCATCCACGGTTCTTTCCCTTGTTCCAACAACGAAATCACTTGAGGCTTAGAAATGTAAAGTCCTGCTCATGAGAAAAGAGAGGGGATATGATTATCTTGTGGGGAAATCAGATCCAGGGCAAGGAAAAATGCCTTTATAGAAAGCCCTACAGAAAGATGCAGAAAAGGCATCAGCCAGAGCCCACTGGAGCTATCGCTGTCTCCTTTCTTCATTTTAGCTCAAATAATTTATGTGGCAATAAGGAGTAGAAATTCAGCTGGAAACCTGAAAGAGGTAACAAAGTCACTGTGGAATCTCAATCTGTAACCTCTGTTTCTTGATATAGATGCCCTTACCCATGGCAACAAGATGGCTGTAGTTCTCCAGCATCACATCCCTGTACAGGTCCCTCTGAGTGGGGTCCAGGCACTCCCACTCCTCCTGAGAGAAGTCTACAGACACGTCACTGAACGTCACCGATCCCTGAAACAAAACATACAGCACCAACTATGTACTTTAAGAAATGCTTGAATGCATGTGATTAGAGATTTAAAGAAAAAAAGGTTATTTTACATAACACCATTGTATCCGTCTCAGAAACAATACAAGAGCAATACATTTATTTAAATTATATAAACAAAGTCCTTACTATGTGCATTGATAAAAAACCTAAGTATAATGATTTACCAACTGCCAAAAAGTACCCTTAGTGCCCGAATTATACTTTCAAATTGCCATTTTAAAAAAAGATTTATTTTATTTTTATTGCAAAGTCAGATATACAGAGAGGAGAAGAGACAGAGAGGAAAATCTTCCATCCGATGATTCACTCCCCAAGTGACCACAATGGCCGGAGCTGAGCCAATCTGAAGCCAGGAGCCAGGAACTTGTTCTGGGTCTGCCACACAGCTGCAGGGTCCCAAGGCTTTGGGCCATCCTCAACTGCCTTCCCAGGTCACGGCAGGAACCTGGATGAGAACTGGCACCCATATGGGATCTTGGAGCATTCAAGGCAAGGACTTCGGCCACTATGCTACCACACCACGCCCCAAATTGCCATTTTAAAAAAGATAAATTTAGGGCCAGGTGTGGTGGCTGGTTTGAATATGAAGAATGGTTTGAATCCCAGCTGTTCCACTTCCCATCCAGCTCCCTGCTTGTGATCTGGGAGAGCAGCAAAGGATGCCTCAAATCTATGAGTCCTGGCACCCATGACCCAGAAGTTCCTGGCTGTCGGCTTTAAACTAACCCAGCTCGGGCTGTGTGGCCATTTGGGAAGTAAACCAATAGATGGAAGATCTATATCTCTCTTGCTATCTCTCAATAATTCTGACTTTCAAGTAAAATAGATAAGTCTTTTTATTTTAAAGGACAATAAGGTAATGGGTTGATTACATTAAAATCTTTGGATCCTGATCTCATAATTCTGAAAAGTAAACAATTCATTACTTGTGGAGGATTCTAGAAAGCCTTTAGTCTAGTGGCTAAGGTCTTCGCCTTGCACACGCCAGGGTTCCATATGGCCACAGGTTCATATCCCAGCGGCCCCATTTCCCATACAGCTCCCTGCTTGTGGCCTGAGAAAGCAGATGAGGATGGCCCAAAGCCTTGGGAGACCTGGAAGAAGTTTCTGGCTCCTGGCTTCAGATCAGCTCAGCTCTGGCCATTGTAGTCACTTGGTGAGTGAATCATCGGACAGAAGATCTTCCTCTGTGTCTCTCCTCCTCTCTGTATATCTCACTTTCCAAAAAAAAAAAAAAAAAGAACAGAAAAAAATAAATATGGGCCCGGCACAATGGCGTAGTAATTAAAGTCCTCGCCTTGCACACACCAAGGTCACATATGGGCGCCGCTTCTAATTCCGGCCAACCTGCTTCCCATCCGGCTCCCTGCTTGTGGCCTGGGAAAAGCAGTCGAGGATGGCCCAAGGCCTTGGGACCCTGTACCCGTGTGGGAGACCCAGAAGAGGTTCCTGGTTTCTGGCTTCAGCTCAGTTCATTTCCAGCATTGTGGTTACTGGGAGAATAAACAAGCAGATGGAAGATGTTTCTGTAAATTTGATCTTCCTTTCCAATAAGAATAAATCTTAATGAAATAAAAAGAGGACTATCTTTGGTGTTGGAAACTGTGTAGTCCCGGGCCTTCCAGCTTTGACCCAAGGCTTCTGCTGCCACGATGCTCCACCAGATTCTTGGCCAGGGCAGCAACACCTTCACTGGATTCCTCTTCATATTTATTGGAGCGGGAGGTACTAGGGCTGAACTAGAAGCCATGTACCTAGCATTCAGATGTTCTCAGTTGGGACAGAAAGAATATCCCAGAACCCTGGAACGAACTGGGTCGCAATGATCAATACAAGTTCTTTTTTTTTTTTTAAGATTTATTTTTTTTTTTATTACAAAGTCACATATACAGAGAGAAGGAGAGA